GTGTGCAATTCTGTACAGTGCAACTTCTACCCCCCCCCACTGCCTGCTCCTCCAGCATGCACCCGCCTGCCCCTCCAGTGTGATAGGGTGCAACCTCTACCTCCCTACACTGCCTGTTCTTCAAGTGTGTGTGGTGCCCTGCAACCCAGTATAAACTCTGCCCCCCACGTACCCTGCCTGCTCCCCCAGTGTGTGTGGTGTGATATAAGGTAACCTTTGCCCCATCCAGTGTAACACCTGCCTCCTTCCCCCCCGGATGCCTTTTCCTTCAGTCATTTCCTTGCACTGTCTGCTCCTCCATTGCACAATATCATCCATAATAACCTCCCCCCAATTCTACCAACTCCCCCCGTTTCATCCGGTGTAACTTTGTCCCCATTGCCTGCTCTGGTATTGGCATGCACGGGAGGTGCGCCGGCCGGCCTCCGCCATTGTATAGCCACCGGTCTTGTAATCCTGGCCGGTCATGTGTGGGCACATTGTGCTTTCTTGTATAACACACTCTGAGGATATCCGTATTCTGTATGAAGCATATACTGTGTCACAATGGACGTCTCTACATGGTGTGACGCTCTCTTGTAGGAATGCTGATCTACAGCGGGCAGAAGAAGAGCAGCGGAGCGGACTTCATGTCTTTCGGTCTGGTGGGAGGACGGCCAGAGTTCAGGTGAGGCCTTCATCTCGGAGGCATCTTCAATTCTGCTTATTCACGCCTTGATTCCCTATAATCAAATCAATGAATTCTGTGATCGCGTCCAAGCGGCCTGTTGTCGGGTGTTTCACTTACCGAGCAGCAGACGACAGTTTCAGGTGGCCTTCTTATCTTCTGAAAACATTTCATAACCCCTTAATACGCCGTTATCTGTCCCTCAGATCGCAGAGTTCCTTCACTGTCATGTGATTCATAATATCTTATTGCAGATTTGATGCCGGTTCCGGAATGGCGACAATCCGTTATCCTATGCCCATCAATCTGGGCGAATTCCATACCATAACCCTGTACAGGAACCTGAACCAAGGATCACTTGTGGTGGACAACCAGACTCCCGTTAACGGGACATCTCAGGTAACCGGCTGACGGTTCTCTATGACAGGAAAGTGACCTGTTATGTCACGCATACTATGTAGGACTCTATCAGTTTACTGGCCATCATTTCCTCAGTAGTGTCTTGTTGGTTTCTCTGGAAATAGAATGTTCTGATTGGGTTTGCTGTACTTCCAGGGTAAATTCCAGGGTTTGGACCTGAACGAGGAGCTCTATCTAGGAGGTTATCCCAACTATGAGGTGGTTGCGAAGACTGGCTTGGGCAAAGGCTTTATTGGTAATTAGAAATCCAACCATGAGCATTTACCATAACGGTCACATCTGCCACTCTTCGGATGGGGGACCCCCCCCCCCTCACCTCACCTCCGGCCTTCTTTCTTCCCCCAGGATGTGTCCGGCAGCTCATTCTGCAGGGAGAAGAGATCATTTTCAAGGATTTGGATCTGAGGTCCAATGGCATTTCCAACTGCCCAACTTGTAGAGATCGACCGTGCAAGGTACGAGCAGAGGCAAAGAGCCAGACCTGCCCAAGTAAACTGTAACTGTTAGTAGATGGGACGCCTATACTTACTACCGACTCGGCAAAAGCCGACATGCTGAGACAGACCATCGGGAAAACCAATGCTTACCCCCCCGTGCTTTAATCACGTGGTTATGTCAAGTGGCACTTTGTTGTATGTATATGTTGGTGGTGCGGGCTTGGTCCATCGGGTCTCCTGGTTGAGTATTCTCTTGTCAAGCAGCTCTTGGCCTCCAGGGTTCATTTTCTTCCTCACTCTTCCTCGGTAACTGGACGGTTACTATCACTTGCGATATTCATTCAGTTACAGAACCCTTTGACCTTGACTGATGGATTCGTCAATGTTCTGTCCCTCCATTAAAAACCCAATAAACACTCGGACTGAGCGACGTGGATTGTAACGGCCACAGCCGCCCCTTTTATAAAAAAACAACTTTAACAATAACCAAAGTAATAAACCAAATATACACAAATAATACTTTAAACAATGGTTGACATGAGAAGGGGTCTTTGGGTGCCCGCCAGCCCAAAAAAGGCCTCTCCTAACCCTCCACCCATGTCCCCGGCCGCACCACAACCAGCTCGAGGACACTTACTACTTCTGGGTTCCCAAGGGGCCAGGCCCCGCCCTTTACAAATGCGGACACCAGCAGGGGGAAGCACCCATACCAGCTGAGGGCCCCCCATTTTTGCAATTAACTCTCATTTTTTCAATTAACTCCGATTTTGTAGGCCCCCCCAAAGACCCCCTAACCCGCCAAGCTGCCGTGACAAATGAAACCCCCCAACCCCCATAACCACCAAATTCAGGGAGGGACAACCTGCTTCCTTCATGGATTTCCAGAAAGAGGACGTCCCTCAGCCCTCGCAGTCCCTTCCCATGCGGATCCTCCCGGACACCTGACTCCCACGTCCAATCAGGTAAGAGCAGCTATTCCCATTTTATTTTTAACCCTTTCTCCCGGGACTATTCCTCCCCCCAGTCATGTAGCCCCTCCCCCTAGTCTTTTTTGCTGATTTTATTATAGAAATGTCCCTCAGATGACTCTGGTGTAACTGTAACACATCCATATGCTGGCACAAGATTCATGACCTCACCATGCTCATGGCTTAGCATGCGTTTTGTAGCATCGTTTCAGACTGCTCACCTGGCAACATGTCTCTCCTTTTTATTAGAATCGCGGAACCTGTCGGGATTCGGAAAGCAGCAGCTATGTGTGCCAATGTCCCCCCGGCTTTGCTGGCAGTAACTGTGAGCACTCCCAGGCACTGCACTGCCACCCAGGTACTTCCTGTAACATGGACATCTCTGTCTCGTACTGCCAATGCCGCGCCATCCCTCCTCAGCACTTTCCACTTTCCTCCTGCAGATGCCTGCGGACCCGAAGCGACCTGCATCAACCGAGCTGATGGCTTGGGATACACCTGCCGCTGCCAGCTGGGCAAATCCGGAGACAAGTGCATGGAGGGTATGTAATACCTGCGCCATCGTTGCATTGTACCTAGAAAGCGTAGAAACTCCATGGGGTTGATTTACTAACCTTATAAACACGCCACGAACATGTATACACCTCTGTAGTGTGTTCCCTCCCAGCATGATCTATGGGTGGAATCTAGATACCTTTGTAGTGTGTACACACCCAGCAGGTGTGTTGTGCAGGAATTGCAAGGTGATGTTGTGTAAATTAGCTCTACGTTGTGTTGCTTGCGTTGATGAATGCAGGAATGTAAATGCATGAGCTAACCATTTGTGTCTAAACTGTGAAGCAGCGTTATATATGCATCATGTGCATGATTTTCCCATATATGGCATTAGTGGAAATATGCTTTTAGAGACTTTTTGGTTGATAAATACGTTTTGCTGTGTGACAATCACACGCACCTGGTGCGTGCGTGTGCTTAGGTTAGTAAATCGCCCCCCATATGTTATGGAGCCAGCTCGTTCCCATATCTACATTCAGAAAGATGTCCCGTTCTTCCTCACAGGAGTCATGGTGAACACGCCGTCATTCAACGGAGAAACGTCGTACATCTCGTATCCCCCTCTCACCAACATCCATAACGATCTGCGGGTGGATCTGGAATTTAAGCCGCTCTCCCCAGATGGGCTCGTCTTCTTCAGTGCAGGAAAAGGAGCTCCGGTGGAAGACTTTGTGTCTCTGGCCATGGCTCGGGGTCATCTGGAGTTCCGCTACGAGCTGGGATCAGGTAAAACACTTGGACTGGATGCTCTCCAGGCCTATGTCACATGGTTGTGCTTTGTCCAATGAAGGGAAACAAAATAAGGATAATAATCTGTTCTCCGGGAAGTTACAAGGAACCAGATACCAGGGAGGGGGTCCCGTGGGTTAGGAAAAGTCACGACATAATGATGACTTCATCCAAGCTGACTGGGAACAGACGCATTCCCGCCGCTGCAAGGACAGATGTCTACACAGATATTCACCACAGACCCAAATCTCATAGCAGCATGGTCCCGTCCCGGAGCGTTACCCCATGCGCCTCATCAAATGTAGTTTACAGTATGTAAACCGCGCACAGGAATAAATCAACATGTAAGAGGGATAAAACTGCAACATGTGACCTAAATCATCCTACAATGGGAACTTCACAACTGAACAAGAACGATACATCTGTGAATAGAAATGTATCGAAAAGTTTAATATTCTGCAAAATAAAGACTGATTGGTTAGCGCACTCCTGGGGGGGTAGCTCCTAGTGTTCTTAGGTCTCGTTCACACCTAGGCGTATTGCATATGCGCGTTTTTTTACAGCGATTCGCGGTAAAAAAGTTGCGCGTTTCCGAAATCTACTTGGCTGTATCCCAATGGAAACGCGCAACAAAACGGCCCACAGTAGTACCTGGACCTTTCCAGGCACGGGCCGTTTTGTAGCGCGTTAGGGACGGGCGGAAATACGCCGAGGTGGGAACCAGACCCATTGAATACAACGGGATTTATATTTTTGAGCGTTTTGTAGAGCGTTCGACGAGCGTAGAACGCGCCACAAGACGTTCAGGTGTGAACGAGGGCTCAGACCGGTGTGTCTAACTATGTGTACTAATGAACGGAAAGAAAGGGAGGGAAGGAGCGCAACTGACTGGCACAGACTTTGTGGGGGTGGAGGGACCAGGGAATGGCAGGGGGCCCAGGGAATGGCAGGGGGACCAGGGAATGGCAAGGGGACCAGGGAATGGCAGGGGGCCCAGGGAATGGCAGGGGGACCAGGGAATGGCAAGGGGACCAGGGAATGGCAGGGGGCCCAGGGAATGGCAGGGGGACCAGGGAATGGCAAGGGGACCAGGGAATGGCAGGGGGCCCAGGGAATGGCAGGGGGACCAGGGAATGGCAAGGGGACCAGGGAATGGCAGGGGGCCCAGGGAATGGCAGGGGGACCAGGGAATGGCAAGGGGACCAGGGAATGGCAGGGGGCCCAGGGAATGGCAGGGGGACCAGGGAATGGCAAGGGGACCAGGGAATGGCAGGGGGCCCAGGGAATGGCAGGGGGATTGGGTGAAGGTGGGTGGGAATGAGAGACGGGACCTCACGTGTGATGAGATGGATGGCGCACAGGTGATGGGCTCCCGGTGATGTCGTGACCTTTAGATCCTCTGAGTTTGTTGCGTCTCGAGACCCGAAGATTTCGGGATGGTGGTGCTGTGTGGTGAGGTGCCGGATCACACGCTGACACTCCGGACATCCGACCAGAAGTGCTGGCACCTCGCCACACGGCACCAACTTCCCGAAATCCTCGGTCTCGAGACGCAACAAACTCAGAGGATCTAAGCCCTCGTTCACACCTGAACGTGTTGTAGCGCGTTCTACGCTCGACGAACGCTCTAAAAACCCTCAAAAATATAAATCCCATTGTATTCAATGGTCTGGTTCCCACCTCGGCGTATTCCCGTCCCTAACGCGCTACAAAACGGCCCACGCCTGAAAAGGTGCAGGTACTGCTGTGGGCCGTTTTGTTGCGCGTTTCTATTGGGATACAGCCAAGTAGCCTTCGGAAACGCGCGAATCGCGGAAAAAAAACGCGCGACAGACGCGCATATGCAATACGCCTAGGTGTGAACGAGACCTAAAGGTCACGACATCACCAGGAGCCCATCACCTGTGCGCCATCCATCTCATCACACGTGAGTGCCCATCTCTCATTCCTACCCACCTTCACCCGATCCCCCTGCCATTCCCTGGTCCCCCTGCCATTCCCTGGTCCCCCTGCCATTCCCTGGTCCCCCTGCCATTCCCTGGTCCCCCTGCCATTCCCTGGTCCCCCTGCCATTCCCTGGTCCCCCTGCCATTCCCTGGTCCATCCACCCCCACAAAGTCTGTGCCAGTCAGTTGTGCTCCTTCCCTCCCTTTCCTAATGTTCTGTAACGTAGATCTGACTGAGGGGAAAGGAAAATGTGGCCAGCTCATCAGTATGTGACCTTCAGCATCATGAAATCATTGGGGGACACCGTTATATGATGGGGAACAGTGACGTCACTCTGGATCTGTGTCTTTTAGGTTTGGCAATCCTAAGAAGTGCGGACCCCATCGCTCTGGGACAATGGCACAAAGCATCTGCAGAAAGAATCAATAAGGATGGAACGCTCCAGGTTAACGGCAGTCCACCAGTGAAGAGGTCTTCTCCAGGGAAAAGCCAAGGCCTCAACCTGAAGACACAGATGTACCTCGGAGGTGTGGACGGCACGGTGGAGCTCCCACCTGCGGTCAATGTCACTCAGCCATACCGGGGCTGCATTGGAGAGGTGAGTTCCCTGTTCCCAGCGGAGTGGTTTCTCCCGCCATCACATGGTAGAATGACATGATTCCAGATACAAGGTGAGGAGATGATTGGATGCTGCAGGTTCAGGGATATCTGAAGAGAAGTTTGTAGCCAGAAAGTCACAGATTTCAGTTCTGATAACCCGGCACATTGTAAGAGGTGGCAAAGCTTGTATTGTAGGACATACTGGTATCTCTTGCCATGATGGTCCATGTTTTGTCGGAGGTTGTTGAGTCCGTTGTGTTTCTTTTGGGTTCGGGTTAGATCGGTGACACAACTCCTCTTTGTTGTGTTTCTTTTAGGTTTCCATCAACAACAAGAAGGTGGACATCTCATACAGTTTCATTGAAAGCCATGTTATCAGTCAATGCTATGACAGCTCTCCATGCGACCGCATGCCCTGCCTGCACGGGGGCAGATGTATGCCCACCGGGGAATACGAGTACCAGTGTCTGTGCCGCGAAGGTTTCAAAGGTGAGAATACAAAATCCATACATTTTCTTCCGTTTACCATTATTGAATCAAACTGATGTCACATGATGCGTCCGATTTGGTTTAAACCTTTTCCTCCTCACAACCAATCAGCTTTTCCCTTTTATTTTCATACCTGGCATAGTAACAATTGGTAATGGTAACCAATGTTGGCTTATATGAGCCCAGGGGCCCCCAAAGAAACCCTTTGCAGGCATTGGGAACCCTAAAAAAAACCCACGAAGAGCCTTGGTGGTTACAGTATCCAGACATGATTGTGAACTGCTCATTGGCCAAAGTCAACTATGTTCCTTCATCACCATCCATGTGACAGGAGCTGCAACATTTTCAGGCCGTCTACACCTTGCCATGAAACCAGAGACGCCGCCTGAGCCCATGTCATGTCCTAAGCCTGAAGCTGACCAACGTGTGGCCACCAATTGTGATGTTTTCCATCTTTCAGGTGATCGCTGTGACTCTCATGAAGATCAATGCCAGATACAGAATCCGTGCATAAACGGGGGCATCTGCAAGGACAACCGATGCCACTGCCCAGAGGGCTTCTCTGGAACATACTGCGAGACAGGTGAGAACCGGGAACACATTTCACTGTGCAGGTGAGGGGGACCCATACATGCTCAGACATCACAGACACGGAAAGGAGGACCTCATGCTGTAATCTGGCTGTGTAGGCCTTCCTTGATGAGGAGCGTGAAGTCCCCATTTCTCACACGTCTGTCTCTGGAATCTCCTTTGCCTCCATACAAGTGAGGTCATACCATGGATCACCAGATCAAAAGTCACCAAAACAGGCAAAGTTCTCCTTATGTGGCAGATGGAGGTTTGCTCTGGGTATGACACCTCTGGGTACGATAGGTGTGGCTTGTAGGGCCACCCAAAGTCTGGTGTCACCAAATATTTTCAGCATTAGGAAGACCTGGGAAGGGGGTGGGGGTAGATTTTGCTTTTGCTTCCTCTGTCACTGTATTTCCTCCCGTTTGTTACCCTACATTTGGGCTTTGTAGTTTGCCATGTCAGACCTTAATGTTGCCTCCTTGCTGTCCCGTATTGAAGTTCATATCGTACTTCTAGTACCCGCAGCAGACGTCAGTAGAGTGCCACTTGTTCACCAAGATCTCTCCTATGTTGCAGTTGTGGGCTCTGAACGGGTCTCAGGTGGGCTGGTCAGGGCTGCATCCCTCCCTCCTTTCCTTCCTAGCTCCTCTTACCTGCACACATGGCCCCGTCTGCCACCGGACCGGCCAGAAGTGACGTCACGTCACTTCCGGGCAGTCCGACATCAGACGAGCAGCGTCGCTGATGGGGCCCCTAGCTTGTCTCAATGCCGCTGGAGCGGCAATGCTGGGGCTATCCGCCTCTTCGCCCTTCACCGTCGGCCGATAGTCATGTAAGGGACTCGGGCGGGCCCCCCAGGCTGCCCGGGCCCCTTACATGAGTATTGGCCGTGCCCCCCTGATGACTGCCCTGGTTGCAGTACATAATCCAGCACATGGGAGCTCATGGTACATGTAGAGAATCGTCTTCTGATGGGGGAGATTTTACACCCATAGGTGGCTGTGATACGCAGGAAGCGGGTGGCGGTAGCCCAGTCCCGGTCATCTCACGGTGTCTGCGGCGTGCTCTGTAGATCAGCAGCTTTGCCAAGTCTGTGTTGTTAACAAGCTTATTTGCACTTGTACAGGAGCAGCTTCTGCCAACCTGGAAGACGGAGTTCACGAAGGGAGTGGGGGGAACGGTATTGTATCCCCAATTTATTTTTATCTTCTTTATGTCTTGGGCTAGGGTGCTATCTGCCATCATTCTGTAACATGCAGCAGGGGTCTATGTGCGAAGGTGGATAGTGATAAAGGGACGGCGATTGTAATGTTTCCACAAACGTTTCCTATGATCCGGAAACGTTGCCTCCCCCGTAGAGTGTTCCGATGTATGCACAACGTAATATCGCCCAATGGCCTGACCTAAACCTGCATACAACAACCCCCATCATATTCTCCCTCTGCTTACATTGCTGAGCACATTGTATTTCTTCTTCCTACCTTGGGGGTGACGGTCCCTAACATTCGGGCCCTCACCGCATGGAGTCCCCAGTGATTGGGTCATCAAGGTCCGGAGTCACCATTTCCACCAATGACGCACGTTTTGTTTTCTTATAGACGCCCCAGGAGTGTATGGGTCATACTTCGAGGATGACTCCTACATAGCTCTACCCAGGCAGATGTTCCCACGCAGGTAAGGGGCCCTGTCTCTCCTCTTCTACAAGGCATGCTGATTTCACAAACAGATTTAAGGATTCATCTATTGCAGCAACCAGATCATAGTAAGAGTTCCAAACCGTCCATCTTCGGGACATGCAAAGCTTCATTTCATAGGCTGCAGAGAGGTTAAGGGGTCCTCCCATCCAAGTACCACACTTTCCCCAGGGCCAGGGTGGTGAAGTACGACCCCTCCAGTCACGTATACCTCTATGGCCATGTTACATGTGGTAGAGCAGAACGATAGGGGGCCTGCTGTGGCTTACTGCGGGTATTAAAGGAGAACTACGAGGTCGGGGCTTTCCCCCATAGTTCTCCTCAGGGGAGGACACAAACTAGCGTCCTCCCGTCACCCTAGGCTCAGTATATAGCAGGCTACAGCTCGCCGTATACTGAGACGCATCCCCACATTACTGTCTGGATCCACCCAGCTGCGTGATTGACAGCTGGCTCCGCCTATCCAGAGGCAGAGCCAGCTGTGCCCGCCCCCTCCCCCGTCCATTCCACCAGTCAGCGCTGGAGGATCAGACAGGGGACTGTGAGTGACAGTCACGGCTCTCTGCAGGGAGATGATGGAGAAGTGAGCGAGCGCCGGTATGTGTTCCCGATCTACTGAGCCGACCTGCGACAGTCTCATTGTCACCGGTTCGGCTCAGATTATGAGGATGAGTGACAATCACCCGCCTCGTAGTTCTCCTTTAAAGGCAATATCCAGGCGGCCACCATTACCGATCCTCTTTCATTCTATTCCAATGGCCGTGAAACAGAAAATATTGTTACATTGTTATTCCTCTGACATGTGGAGATCATTTCATATTAGCGTGAAACTAAAAACTCCCTATTCTTCCAGCCGGCCAGACGCACCCGAGACCATCGAGTTGGAGGTCCGAACGACGTCTACAAACGGCCTCGTTTTCTGGCAGGGAATGGTGAGTGTATTTGGTGAGGGAACACGATCAGCGAAGGAACAATCGGCCCCTTAAAGCCGTAATGAAGGGATCGCCTTCTGCCGCTTCATACCCCGAGTCTTCAGTTGTACAGGTATTCCTCACTTAACGACTCGGTTCCGATCCTACGACCAGGTCGTTAAACGGATTGGTCGTTAAGTGAGGAACTCTATACAGTACGGTATAGCGTTGCCGATGTACAAGTACCGAACAGTGTACTGTACATCGGGCAATTCAAATACTCACCGGCACCCGCAGTGAAGATCGGAGGACACCACTTCCGCCGGCGACGCGGCGCACTGACGTTGGCGCGCAAGGTCGGAGGTCAGAGGTCGATCGGCGGTCGCAAAACAGGTAAGTCGGTAAGCGAGGAACATCTGTCGTTTGTTGCCATAAGGTAAACCTGGCCACAGCCGCGCCTACAGGTGAGGAGCAAGACCGAGAGCTCGGCACAGGACGACCCACCATAGTTGGGTACAGATGATGGCGTGTAGCGCCTGCACTGCAGAAGATGGACGACACTTTCCCCAGATCTCTTCCATGATGGGTTCTCTACTGGTTTCCGTTCAGCTGAGTGGTATTGGGCGTATGAGCTCCTCTCTTGTATAGGGAACACTCCTCTTCCCTTCTGCTTTCTTGGCAATGCACTGGAGCGGATGAGGGGGGGGGGGGGGGCACACACATGACCTCGGGGTACACGGGTACTGCCGATAGAGGGAATATCACTGCTCTGCCGCACCGTTCATCAAGGTGTCTGCAATAGGAAATGTCCGCATTGCCTTACAGCAGCGAATCATATCCCTGGGTTTATTTTCCACATGATGTACTAGTGCCGGGTAAAGTTGTTCATAGTTTTGGGGTAACAGAGCCCACAGAAAAAGGCAATGGACCATCATTTGATAGCGTCTGAGCTCATCCTGTGGGCGATGGGCAGTGCCATTGTGTTGGTTGAGTATGCAGGGTGGTGCCCCCCTTCATTCACAAGAAAGGATAGTACGGCTTCAGAACTTCCAGACACATTGATCTGGAAGACGGATGCAGACCCGGAGTTTCCTTAGCTCCCTTGCCGGAGCCGGAGCTCCCTTGCCGGAGCTGGAGCTCCCTTGCCGGGCCCGGAGTTCCCTTGCCGGGCCCGGAGTTCCCTTGCCATATGTTTGTTCCGGGTTAATACCGGAAAACATATTGGAGGAAGAGATGGACGTGCCCCTTCCATATTCTGCCACATACGGCTTGATACAGGCTGCCATCCCTGTAACGGCATGCCGCCATGATGGAAGCGTCTGCCTCCATCTCTCATCATGTTCCCCTCAGGCCTCGTTCACACCTGAACGTTTTGTAGCGCTTTCTACGCTCGGCGAACGCTCTACAAAACGCTCAAAAATATAAAATCGCATTGTAGTCAATGGTCTGGTTCCCACCTCGGCGTATTTCCGCCCGTCCCTAACGCCCTACAAAACGGCCCGCGCCTGGAAAGGTCCAGGTACTACTTTGGGCCGCTTTGTTGCGCGTTTCCATTGGGATACAGCCAAGTAGCCTTCGGAAACGCGCGACGGTCGCGCAACTATTTTACCGCGAATCGCGCTAAAAAAACCGCACGTTTGTCACGCGACAGACGCGCATATGCAATACGCCTAGGTGTGAACGAGACCTCAGGAAGCCCTCTGCTCTCAGCATGGTACTGATCAGGTACTGCAACCTTTCATGGGCCAGAAGTACCGACCAAACCAACTGCATGATGTCACCAGCCGGCTACTCTGCCAGCCGGATAATGACTGGTGTAATGAAGTGCAGCAACACATACAAACCAATCGGAAGACTGAACTCCGGTTGCTATGAGTTACTGCACATCACATGAGAGAAACCTGAGAGCTTCTGTCTGAGCAAAGTCATCGCAATCCCGACTGCAGACCGAACAGCACGCGGCCTCGTTCCCTGTGTAACGCCTTCCATGTCTGTACACGTGATATTATCGGCGTCTCATGTCTGTATGCGTGATATTATCGGCGTCTCATGTCTGTACACGTGATATTATCGGCGTCTCATGTCTGTACACGTGATATTATCGGCGTCTCATGTCTGTACGCGTGATATTATCGGCGTCTCATGTCTGTACGCGTGATATTATCGGCGTCTCATGTCTGTACGCGTGATATTATCGGCGTCTCATGTCTGTACGCGTGATATTATCGGCGTCTCATGTCTGTACGCGTGATATTATCGGCGTCTCATGTCTGTACGCGTGATATTATCGGCGTCTCATGTCTGTACGCGTGATATTATCGGCGTCTCATGTCTGTACGCGTGATATTATCGGCGTCTCATGTCTGTACGCGTGATATTATCGGCGTCTCATGTCTGTACGCGTGATATTATCGGCGTCTCATGTCTGTACGCGTGATATTATCGGTCCCGACTGCAGACCGAACAGCACGCGGCCTCGTTCCCTGTGTAACGCCTTCCATGTCTGTACACGTGATATTATCGGCGTCTCATGTCTGTATGCGTGATATTATCGGCGTCTCATGTCTGTACACGTGATATTATCGGCGTCTCATGTCTGTAGGAATCTCAGCCATTGTTTACATTGCAGGAGGTAAAAGAACAAGGCCGGGAGAGGGACTTCATCAGCCTGGGCCTCAAGGACGGACACCTCATCTTCAGGTGAGAACTAGACTAGACCTGGTCTTGTGAGCGGCCATTGTGGATATGATGGCACGGAGGCTGAGGTATCGCAAGCTGCAGGACAGGAAGATGGTTGTCCATGGCAGCCAGTCCTTCCACCCAATAGATGTAACCTAAACGTTGATCCCAGAGCTCCTCGGAGAACGTCACATAGAAGCACCAGATCCCAAATGATACGGGCTTCTTATTGAGCGGCACAAAGATCCCCATCTGCTGGTCCTGTGCAGACGCCTCCGGGAGGAGATGGTCAGGATGGGACTCTGGGAGCTCCGTATTGTTGGTTCAGTAAAAAGTTTTGGCTCCTCCTCCTCTGATCCTTTCATTTGGTGGTTTAGGATGTAATATATCTACCCCCCCCTCCGTATTAATACCACTCCTTATTTCATCAGTTACCAGCTGGGCAGCGGAGAAGCCAATATTATGACCGAGGATCCCATCAATGATGGTGAATGGCACAAAATCACCGCCATCCGGTAAGTGGACAACAACTTTCATGACTGTATTACCCTAGTGGAGGAAAACTGGACCTGGCTTGGTTCCTAATACTATGGACAATGACCGAGTTCTTCTCCGAGAGGCCAATAAAGAGACCCATTACCCCTCATAGCTCTGACCGCTCCTCCTCTCCAACATTGCCCAATCGTTCATCATTACTGTAACCAGAACCAAACATGGCGGCCGCCCCCGGGAACCATGGGCGCCGTCCCCCTGAGCGCATTTACTGTACAAGTCTGTGAGACGTAATCTGCCTTTGTTTCCCCCAGGGAAGGGAAGTCCGGATCCATACAGGTGGATGGGGAGGAAGTCGTCTCTGGAAGTTCACCCGGTAAAAACATCATGGTGGACACAAAGGGAAGCGTTTACATTGGTGAGTTCACCGCGACCGGTCACCACGCCAATAAATATATTCTCTGCATGTAGAACCCACGACATGGTACAGCTCATCTACTGTTAAGATATGGAAGAAACCAAAGGTCAACAGGTGGGACACATTTAGAAGGGGGTGTGGTCAGTAATGATAAGGGGACAGGATAAGTCATGTAGTGTGGTCAGTGTGGTTAGGGTTAACCCCCCACCCCAGTGATAGTTTTCTTATATTGGTGTCAGTGGGGGGGGGCCACATTAACATACCTCTCACACTGGTGGTCAGTGGGGGGGGGCCCCAGTAAAGTGCCCTCTCACACTGGTGGTCAGTGGGGGGCCACATTAACATACCTCTCACACTGGTGATCAGTAGGGGCCCCAGTAATGTTTCCTCTCACCCTGGTGATCAGTAGGGGACCCCAGTAACACTCCCTCTCACCCTGGTGGTCAGTAAGGGACCCCAGTAACGTTCCCTCTCACACTGGTGGTCAGTAGGGGACCCCAGTAACACTCCCTCTCACCCTGGTGGTCAGTAAGGGACCCCAGTAACACTCCCTCTCACCCTGGTGGTCAGTAGGGGACCCCAGTAACACTCCCTCTCACACTGGTGGTCAGAAGGGGACCCCAGTAACACTCCCTCTCACACTGGTGGTCAGTAGGGGGCCCCAGTAACACTCCCTCTCACACTGGTGGTCAGTAGGTGGTGGTATACATGTTGGCACACAATAGGCAGATGAAGCCAATACTGACACACGACCTCTGCCCTGACCTTACCCATACACATAAATGAGAAGCACTTCTTCTTACCCGTCCCATGTCTGACTCTTCCCTTCTTGCGGCAGGCGGGGCCCCCGACGTACTGCTGACGACGGCTGGAAAGTTCTCCAGCGGAATCTCCGGGTGCATCAAGAATCTGGTGATCCTGAACGCGAGACCATCTCACCAGCTGCACCAGCCCATCGACTTGAAGCACAGCGCCGAGTCCGGTCATAACACCAAAGAGTGCCCCTCGTAAGACTGCGCCACCACCCCCCTCACCCACGGGGGGGGCGGGCGCGCCACGTCAGGGCAATCCATGGACTGATGTTTATAGACGATGAAAGGGAGAATCGTTGTATATGGTGCTTATGCTGCTACCAAAAAACAGAACCAGCGGTGGTGCTAAAGAAACACAAAGTATTTGGATTGCGCGTATTTGTATTACCGACGCCGGAATTTCTTCTCTTTAATTATTATTATTATGATGTTTTTTTGTTGTAAATGTCTCAGATTTCCGTGTTTTACAGCTGGATGAAGGAAATATGTATTGCTACAGATGTATGTTTTTTAAGAAGAACCCCCCTAACCAAAACCTAACACAATGAGCTGTACAGCCAATGGCAGCCGTGCGGGGAGACAGGATCCTATATTCCTCAGAGCCGTGGTTGTATATACAGAAGTGGCCCCCGGCTGTACATTCGCCCTTGGCCCCCGGCTGTACATTCGCCCTTGGCCCCCGGCTGTACATTCGCCCTTGCGTCCCCCCGGCTTCTAACGTTGGTCTGGAGAGGGCGTTACAGAACCTTCGGGTTGGGAGGGGCCCGGGCTTTACTTCCTATTCCCAGATGTCTCATAGAGACTGTATGGAAATAAAGGGGAACAATGGGTTCCCCTTGGGGGGCTCCTCTGACCCCTCTTTAGAACAAGGGGGCTACACCATCTTCCTATTCCCAGATGTCTCATAGTTAGAGACTGTATGGAAATAAAGGGGGACAATGGGTTCCCCTTGGGGGGCTCCTCTGATGACCCCTCATTAGAACAAGGGGGCCACACCATCTTCCTATTCCCAGATGTCTCATAGTTAGAGACTGTATGGAAATAAAGGGGGACAATGGGTTCCCCTTGGGGGGCTCCTCTGATGACCCTCTTTAGAACAAGGGGGCCACACCATCTCATTGGGTATATATTGCTGGCAGACGGCTTCTTTTGTTGGAACAATATTTATGTGATGTAGCTAACACCCGCGAGTGTATTATGAAAGGTGCATCGACTCTTAGTTCAGGTCAGATACAAGCTTTCCAATAAAATCATTCCTCTCCAGCGGTCTTCTCATTCCCTGCGCCTCGAAATATTCACACCGGTCCCCTCGCCTGTTGTGGGACCAACCTAAACCCACCCCCCAGACACGGGGTCCCTATTCAGAGGCCGCACCACCAACTGGATGTAGATCCAGGACCAATTCCCCATCCGCAAGACTTCACTATACAATCCGTACCATAAAGAACTGATGGGTTTGACCTTTGACCTAAGAGCGTATGCACCCGCCGGGCAGAGGGCACCGTACACCTGTGTGGGAAGAGATTTTTGGTCGCAGGATTTGGCAGGAACCGATCCTGGGCTGGCTGTATATTGAATGGACAGGCTGAAGACGAGGACAATAGACTACTGTGTACTCCAGAGCAGTATGGACGGGAATGTGCACTGTATATAGAGGAGGGTTCGAGCACTGGCGGGGGATGATAGGGGGAGGTTGCAGGTCAGCTATGGTCATAGACAATGGACAAGCCACGGTCCTCTTGTCCTTCAATCTGCAGCTTAGACATCACATTCTCCACCTTCATTAGATAGAAAGCCAACCAAGCGGAAACACAAGACTCCATCCTAAACCTGACACGGCGGACTGATGAGGGAACGCGCACACACCACCAGGACAGGCACACCGGGCCACCTGCATCCCACTGATACACCATTATGGCCACCACCACCAGGACAGGCTACACCGGGCCACCTGCATCCCACTGATACACCATTATGGCCACCACCACCAGGACAGGCTACACCGGGCCACCTGCATCCCACTGATACACCATTATGGCCACCACCACCAGGACAGGCTACACCGGGCCACCTGCATCCCACTGATACACCATTATGGCCACCACCACCAGGACAGGCTACACCGGGCCACCTGCATCCCACTGATACACCATTATGGCCACCACCACCAGGACAGGCTACACCGGGCCACCTGCATCCCACTGATACACCATTATGGCCACCACCACCAGGACAGGCTACACCGGGCCACCTGCATCCCACTGATACACCATTATGGCCACCACCACCAGGACAGGCTACACCGGGCCACCTGCATCCCACTGATACACCATTATGGCCACCACCACCAGGACAGGCTACACCGGGCCACCTGCATCCCACTGATACACCATTATGGCCACCACCACCAGGACAGGCTACACCGGGCCACCTGCATCCCACTGATACACCATTATGGCCACCACCACCAGGACAGGCTACACCGGGCCACCTGCATCCCACTGATACACCATTATGGCCACCACCACCAGGACAGGCTACACCGGGCCACCTGCATCCCACTGATACACCATTATGGCCACCACCACCAGGACAGGCTACACCGGGCCACCTGCATCCCACTGATACACCATTATGGCCACCACCACCAGGACAGGCTACACCGGGCCACCTGCATCCCACTGATACACCATTATGGCCACCACCACCAGGACAGGCTACACCGGGCCACCTGCATCCCACTGATACACCATTATGGCCACCACCACCAGGACAGGCTACACCGGGCCACCTGCATCCCACTGATACACCATTATGGCCACCACCACCAGGACAGGCTACACCGGGCCACCTGCATCCCACTGATACACCATTATGGCCACCACCACCAGGACAGGCTACACCGGGCCACCTGCATCCCACTGATACACCATTATGGCCACCACCACCAGGACAGGCTACACCGGGCCACCTGCATCCCACTGATACACCATTATGACCTACCTAGTAGATGCCAGAACAAGCACGCCGGGGCAGCTATCAGGACTCCTGACCACTTTACTCCCCGTGTCCATCCCTGGGCCTGCTAGGAATATCACCAATGGGTTTCATGGCTGAGGATGACTTCATTTCCTGACAAGATCACAGCTGAATAGTTTGATCAGAATTACAACCACCACACCCCACCCTCCCCACCACCCATGGAGAGGAACCCTTGAAATCATTTTTAGGTCTTGAGAAACATCTGTTATTTTATTTTGGCCAGTCTGAAGAATGCCCCCCCTTCCCCCTTACAATGGTGGTAGAGCCAGCGGCATGACACCAATGATCTTTCTGACCAAGTGGTTTTGGCCTTGTTAGTATGGAGGCACCACCAGATGGGAGGTCAGTCACAGGCCCTATAGCACATTCTGAAGGAACCCCGGCGTTCCATGGAACCTTGGTGGAGAATAGCCGGCCTTCATCGTACATGCAACGGGTTGTAGAGTCTCTTCTCAGCCAATGACAAAGCTAAGTGTTATGGGGCACAAGGCTCAATGAGGGTTCGAGACATACCATTAAGATGTGCCGGGCCGGTCTATGAATTGCAGAACGGCAGGCAGGGTGCGCCGTCTACCAAAGTTACATTTCCTCTCTCACCCCACCCCACCCCACCACAAGGGGCATTGCTGCGGCCTCACAGGAACCAAGCCGAACGTTCTTTCACTTTCTAACCTGCACTAGAAATAACAGGACAATCTGTAGGAGACAAAGAAGCCGGCCGCACTCCAAATCACATCAATAATGAATGACAAAGCTTTATTGTCCCAGACAAGATCACAAGAAGTCCCCCCAGACCTCACTCATCTAAAGCCGGCCGCACTCCAAATCACATCAATAATGAATGACAAAGCTTTATTGTCCCAGACAAGATCACAAGAAGTCCACCCAGACCCCACTCATCTGAAGCGTTTCACTCAAAGGCCCTTTAGATGAAATGTGTCAGGGTGAGGAGGGTCGGGGTGGACATCTCGTGATCTTGTCTGGGGCAATAAAGCTTTGCGATTGCTGATGTCACCCGCTGCCTTCTTTTACTTTACTAAACGTGGGGAGCGCGATGACGAGCTCCGTATGACTGCCACGGAAATGGGCAGTTTGTGGGCTTAAGGGCGGCGGCCTTCCCCGGTGCTTGGAAAGGACAACCTGACTGGAGACTATGAGGCACTATGATGTCCTATGTGGCTGGGTATATAGTACACGGAGGGGGGAAGGGGGAGGGGCATTTATAAATAGTCTAAACGGAGGTCTTTCAGGGTTTTGAGAGGTTCATTCTCTGTTTCCGATCTTTATAAAAAGGCCTCAGTAAGGAGTAAAGCGCACGCACGCCCGGCCTCAGCTAGAGAAGTGCATGTTTGTTCCTAGAACTGTGTGGGGAGGATAATGGGGAACGGGCTTACCAGTTCTGTCATCGCTTTACCTCAGTGCCTTGGCTTTCATAACTAACCAATAAACCAGAAGTTGGAACACCAAATGTTGTGTCGTCGTCTGTCACTGCCACACCAAAGCCACGCAGGCACCATGACTGTACCACATGCTGTATTTACAGGGAAGAGGACATTTGTTTTACATGCAATCTGCGCACGAAGCTCATAAATAGGTCGGCTGGATGTCCAAGTCACCGATCAGCCGTATTCCGGGACACAATGACAGGTCACACGAAGTGATTGGATAGCGGTAGACGCCTACTCACTCCACAATCGTCCCCACGGCTCCATGCGGACGGCTAAGTGTTTCTGATGGCATAGGAACCGGGACAAGGCATGTTTGGTCCGTCACATGGCACAGGAACGGGGACAAGGCATGGTTGGTCCACCACATGGCATAGGAACGGGGACAAGGCATGGTTGGTCCACCACATGGCATAGGAACGGGGACAAGGCATGGTTGGTCCACCACATGGCATAGGAACGGGGACAAGGCATGGTTGGTCCACCACATGGCATAGGAACGGGGACAAGGCATGGTTGGTCCACCACATGGCATAGGAACGGGGACAAGGCATGGTTGGTCCACCACATGGCACGGGGACAAGGCATGGTTGGTCAGTCACATGGCACAGGAACGGGGACAAGGCATGGTTGGTCCACCACAAGCCACAGGAACGGGGACAAGGCATGGTTGGTCCACCACATGGCATTGGAACCGGGACAAGGCATGGTTGGTCCATCACATGGCATAGGAACCGGGACAAGGC